ACATATACATATACATATACATATACATATTCATATACATATACATATACATATACATATATAGATATATATAAAGCAGCTTCAACGTTTAGGTGAAATATTGAAATACTGCTTGTATGCTCAAACGAAACACAAATTTATTTGTTTCAATGAGATTATTGTTAAAGGTATTTTAACAAATTGTCCGATTGCAAAACAATGAAAATGCATTACTAATAAAATAAAAGTGGCAAACTGTGGATTATTGTTTATATAAGAGACTAGCTGCAGATCCCTACGTTGCTGGGGTATTTATTATAACACTTTTTTATTAAACAGAAAGGGGAATTCTATCTATTCCCACCCTATGGCAGAGCCTATTTCTATTTATTCTATTGTATCTCCTCTCCGCTCTACCCCGCATCTCTCTGTCTTGCTCCAATCTGGAAATACCCGGCATTTCGTATTCACTAAAACACTGTCTCACTAAAAATATTTAAATTTTATTCTTATTAGGGTTCCCGCCCCCAAAACATCTTTCACTTTATAACTGAAAATAACAAACAAATCTAAACAAAACAATAAAATGCATGTTCTCGCTTTTTGTGGAATTTTATATAATATTATATCAATGCTTTCAATGAATTGCCCTATTATAAAACTTATTCTTTTTCACACTTTTTTCTTCTCGCGTATTTCTAATGAAAGGTTTAAAATTAATTTGCAGTGTCAATCGACATTTAAAAATAAAGTAATTTTAACTGAATTCCAATACATGTTTTACTATCCTTGATAAATAATGGCTGAGGTATAATATCTCAAAAATCCGAGATCACAGTGGATCCCGGGTTGACAAAACGTTTTCTATTTTCTAAAATAACAACCATGAAAACCAGAGTGTCACACATTCAATTCCTCCAAATATCCATTTACCAATTACGTTTTACCATTTAATTTTACTGCTGTTTTACTATATATTATATATTCGTCAATTTAATAATTTCTTCAACACCCAAAGGTGTGCATTTACTCTCCCTTATCAAAATATTTCTCTAAAAAAATGCAACCATCCGTCAATTTCAGCATAATACGTAAATCATTCATATGTTTTCGCTCTCACTGTCGCTCGCCCAACTTGCAAATACACAATTTGCAAGTTTTTTCAAATCGTGGCTTTGAAAGGCGTAACACGAGAATTCTGAGGAGAATTTGTTCTGCGCATGCGCGGGCATTAAAGGGCAGAATTTGGATTGACGGGACCCGTCATTCTCCCTGTTTTGTCGACCACGACGAACTCATACTTAACGTAGTTTTCGTCGCCACCAATAAACACGATATCAACACTAACGGACAATGAGCATGGAAGAAATGACAAATGCAATATCCATAGTACCAAATATAATATGCCAAGAAATTAATAGGTAATATTTCTCAAATTAATTCAAATATGTCGGTTATAAACTAACGTAATTATTTAGAATTTGAGGTTATGTATTTGCTATAGTTATCTTTGGAGATAAAGACATGTATTACATATTTATATGTTACATTCAGATGTATACAAAAGCTGCTTACAAAAGCAGAAAATATTCAGAGATACACAGACGTTCAATAAAAGTTTTTAGATCCTGTTAGAGGTATATTCAATTGCAATTAGTTCCTAGTTTTAACGTATGATTTCAACTGAAAGACTTTCAAAAACTATTTTTTCTGAAGATACGTTATTTTCTTGACTTCTATTATTCTATTGACGTATAATGTTTACGTACTACAACAATGTATTTCCCGTCTTGAAAAAACTCTCTAATAATTATGCTTAATTTACGAGTACTACAACTAAACATGTGAGCATTCGTACATAGTTCGACAATATTAACCACATCCGTCAGATAATGATATCTTCCAAGCATTTCGTCTTTTGTACACTTAATGCACTCACGTCTATATGCAATTAAAATGAATATTCAAGTTACTTTTGTAAATAAACGGGAGAAAAAAATCATAACTATTTCTAATTAGACAGCTGACGTAATTAAACAAATAGTCCTGTAAATACGCAATTCTGTGCACTGATAAGATCAGTAGATCTCAGATAGTGTCCAATGGTGAGCGCAGCTAAACTATTTACTTTGATGCACTCTTGTGTCTGTGATGTAAAGCTAGGCGAAAAATGTCCAGAAAAGTAATTATTTTGTAAAAATATTAAGGTTTATGGTTATAAATCATAGCCTATAGTACTCCAGGCCTTTAAAGGAAGATAACACAAAATTTTCATCGGGATTGGTTCAGTCGATTCAGAGGTTATCGCGCTGTAAGTCAACGCCCTTCTGTCTTTAGACATTAGTGTACATTCAAATCAAGTGGTATCTACAAGAGACCTAGTATTCCTAGAGATAAATTCACTTTGTATACACTAAATTATTTTTACTCATTTTTGTAATATTAGAAATATAATTGGGCAAGAATGAGAACGACACTTAACTTCGATGCTCGTCTAGTGTTCAACCAATTCCTGGTAAATTGCAAAGTATCACGATGAAATGACAATTTCGTGCTTCTTCGTGAAACAAGAAATTTCAACTTTAATAATAAAATTATCCTGTCGTGATAAATATTCATTTTATAATGTTATCAAGATATAGCTTATTTTATAAACATGTTCTTCTACTTTATCCCCCTTGGGATAGTAAAAGTAGTTTTAAAAGCCTCCTGTGGTACGGTAGCTTTGGCGTCATAAGGAAGTAGAGCCCAGTGCACTGTAACTGTTTGTAAAAGTAGGTTATTTACAATACAAATGTTAAAAGAGGTGCTTTATTTTTAGAGAAAAGATAATTGCTAAATAATGCCTTTAGACAAAATGTTGCAACCCTATGTACAAAATTAAATCTCTCTGTAACACAGAATCAGTGTCACAGTGGCTGCCCTACGACGGGTGGACGTCAACCTAATCTGCTTAGCAAGGACAGATGTTTTTAAAACCATGTGACCACAGTTTGGGTCTGGCAGCTACTTCTGGCCAAGAGTGCAGTTATCGCCTCATACCAAGCCGATCAACGGGTAAAGTATATGCAACCGAAGCACATTCTGGAGTAAGAGAAACAGAGAAATGAGACTTGAAACAAACTTAGCATTTCTGCAAACGCAAAGCGCGCGCCAGGTTGGCTTATGTCATTTTTGACCTTCTGTTTTTCTCAATGTTGCAGGATTGGCCGTAGATGCCCGTAAGAGTGGGAATGGTCGCACCGCAGTGGCGTGACCGAGCATTGCACTTTCCGTGCGTTCACAAAACTGCACAAAGAGGGCTCTCTGCATGAGCGGAGTAACGTGCTATCGTTGTAAACCCTTCTTCAACGGTTAGCGGGGGACGCAGCGGGGCAGAACCGGTAGGCATAAAAATACCGAATGGCCTCCGCCCGGCGGTCCTCCACGTGGAGAACTCGCGGAAGGGAGGCGCGGCCGTGAAGCGGGGCTTCTCTTGGCCTACAGTCATCTTTGCCGCTGACTCTGTAGTGACGCGATAGGGTTCGAGTCACAACTGTGGCAGGATTTTCAACACTAGCTAGGTAGC